TTAAAAGACAAGAAAGAGTAGTCTGTGTTGTTTTTAAACAAATCATAAATGATCATAATCTCGTTTTTAAACCACTTACGATAAAAAACAACTTTATTACCAACAGAAATATTTTTATTATACCATAAGGGGGCGGTTAGTTTTACCCCATGAACAGTTGCATTGATGCAAGGAAAACAGTGCCAGGCAAATTTGAGCTTCTTCTATCCATTACACAAAGTCGGCTGGCATTGATGTATCATGTATTTATGTTTAATAATGCATTTTAATTTTGATGTCTTGATTTGTAAGTTAGTGTTAACTGCAATATGTTATCAAACTTGTAAGTGGGCCACGTTGGCTGTTGGATCGAAATAAATAAATTAAAAAAATCTATCGCAACATTCATTAAGTTATATGTGCAGGTACATTTAAGTGTACATTGAAGAAATGGGCGATACTTTCTAAAAGTATTATACGAATTACGTTTCATAATGTCCGCTAAAACGCATGTCAGTTTGTGATAATTAGGAATAGTGCGAAATTAGAAAACAAATAACTTACATGAAGCAAAAGTATTTCCTTTGAAAGTATTTGCCAATACTAATGCATCAAACACGTTTGAAAAGGTTATGTTAATATAACTTAAAGTTCCCAGAGGTTACAATACAATACATACTGTTTACAACTCTGAATCATATGACTGTAACAAGAATCGTCAGCATTAAGGTGGCCTATCGCGAGTTGTTAACGACAAAATGACATATAATCAGTGGTCAGTTTAAGCGCTGGCCAAGGCCTTGGGGCTGACCTTGTTCGCTGTCAATTACATGGTAATTATCGGATGCTAGTGGCTACAGCGCAAGTAAGCCTGGTCCCGTCTGACGAGATATCATAATACTTATTACACGAAACACGACTGTATCTATACACATTAAAAATTCCTGGAAACAGTTCAATATCCGTCGTTTTTGTTTGTTTGTTATTTCCCTCCGGGAGTTCTTATTACTAAAAACTGTTATGCACAAAGTATGTGTCTTGCCATTTAAATGGAATTATGTTTGATAAAAATGTTTGCGAATTATTTATCAATCTCTGTTTTTCTTGGAGTAGACTTCCTTGTATATACAGTAGATGGTATAGTTATTTGAAAGTGGGTTTCTTTCTGTCGTAGTATTACGTGACTTGGTAAGAGTTTAATATTTCACGTCGATACTGTATGTTGTGCAAATGTGTAAAAAATCACGATAATAATATAATCCGATTAAACAATTTAGAGACATTCTTTCTGGGCAAGTGCAAGCTTTACATATTTGGCGGAAGTGTAATATGAACTATTTCTGGGGAAGTGTAAGCTTTACTTATTGGGTGGGGGTGGGGGTGGGGTTGGGGTGTAGCATTAATTATTTCTGGGGAAGTGTCAGTTTTAACTTTTTTGGCGAAATTGTAGCATTAATCATTTCTTGGGAAGTGTAAGCTTGACTTATGGGGGGGGGGTAACATAAACTATTTCTGGGTGAGTGTGAGCTTTACCTATTTGGCGGAAGCGTAATATTAACTATTTCTGGGGAAGTGTAAGCTTTACTTATTTGGGGGATGGGCGTAGCATTAACTATTTCTGGGGAAGTGTAAGCTTTCACTTTTTTGGCGAAATTGTAGCATTAATTATTTCTTGGGAAGTGTAATCTGTGAGAGATATACTTAAAAATAAGATAATTTTTTTACTTGTATTAATGAAGTTTATCCACAAAATCGTACAAACGACGTTATGATTTCGTTCTTTTAGTTACATGAAACATGGTCAAATTTCACCAGACAAGATATTTTTTCTGAACAATTAAATATTTTTAAGTAAAAACTTGTCAATCGGGAAATGAACGAACTCTTGACATTGTTCGAAAACAAGGTGCTTATTCTGAAAATACGACCTCCGTTTGATGGATTGCAGAAATTTAGAAATTCAGCCACTGGTTGAGAAAACTCTGCAACATCAGCGTTTATTTAGTAAAGAATGTGCTCATACTATTTTATCACCAAGGCAGCCCCTCCCCCTAAACAGACGAACACGTGTTTCCAGACAAACACATCAAAACTACTCGTATCCAAACAAATCCGTTACGTGTACAAACACAAGAGGTCGTTATTAATGACTGATGGTGATGTACTGGTACCAGAGGCGATACTGCTCCGCCATTGGACAAAAGAGCTTTATCTGGTGCTGGACACCGACTGGACACCTTGTGACAGGCCGGTGTCTGGGAGACAGGGTCGGGCCAGGAATTGATTATCCTGTAGTTTGTGTCCGATTCCTATAAAAGCATGTGGACCTAGTTCCTAGAGTCAGAGTTCTACAGCTGCAGACTAAGGTAATGTATACTTTAACTCTTCATAAACAACCAGTGCAAACAGGTGACAAACCGTTTCATTCGGTTCAAATATTTGACTTATTTTTAATGTCACAAAACGAAGTTATAAGGAAGTATTTTATGGACGGAACGGGATGATTTTTAGAAACTTTTCTTTTTTCGTAATGAATATTTTGACGCCAGCATTTAAATGTAACCATTGTATAAGTAGGTATTATAACTAATACCGAAATACGTGTGTTACCTAACGTTCAATAGAGTAATAGAACTACACACATTTCTATGTTATTTGTAATATATGTCTCACCTGTCCAATAGAGTATTAGAACTACACACATGTCTATGTTATTTGTAATATATGTCTCACCTGTCCAATAGAGTAATAGAACTACACACATTTCTATGTTATTTGTAATATATGTCTCGCCTGTCCAATAGAGTAATAGAACTACACCACACATTTCTATGTTATTTGAAATATATGTCTTACCTGTCCAATAGAGTAATAGAACTACACACATTTCTATGTTATTTGTAATATATGTCTCACCTGTCAAATAAAGTAATAGAACTACACACATTTCTATGTTATTTGTAATATATGTCTCACCTATCCAATAGAGTAATAGAACACCTCACATTTCTATGTTTTTGTAATATATGTCTCGCCTGTCCAATAGAGTAATAGAACTACACCACACATTTCTATGTTATTTGAAATATATGTCTTCCCTGTCCAATAGAGTAATAGAACTACACACATTTCTATGTTATTTGTAATATATGTCTCACCTGTCAAATAAAGTAATAGAACTACACACATTTCTATGTCATTTGTAATATATGTCTCACCTATCCAATAGAGTAATAGAACACCACACATTTCTATGTTTTTGTAATATATGTCTCGCCTGTCCAATAGAGTAATAGAACTACACCACACATTTCTATGTTATTTGAAATATATGTCTTACCTGTCCAATAGAGTAATAGAACTACACACATTTCTATGTTATTTGTAATATATGTCTCACCTGTC